CTGGAGAATCGTTCTCAATGGGAGGATTCTTGCGGATCTGCTGCAATTCGCAGCGCGAAGGAATTCGCGAAATCTGGGGGCGAAGGTGGCTATCTCTCGCACAAACCTGCCAGCCGCAAGCAGAGCTATGCCATGACAATGCTCAACATCTGCAGGGCTTAATGATCGTATTCCGCCATGTACGCGGCTTGCATCGCCTCACGAAGTTCTAGACGGCCTCTTCTCGCAACTACTCGCTGGTTGGCGAAGGCAAACTTTATCTCCAGGGGACGGTAACCCGTCACCACACACCCCAAAGCCCTATTGTGAGCAGTCGTTGCAATATCGTGAGCAGTCGGCGAGTCGGTGCAAAAGAACAACTGTTTGAATGATGATGCATGCTCCTTTTCACCAAATGCACTCAACAAGTACCACTCATGGCAGGTTCGCTGCATGAACTGACTTTCTGGCACACCAACGGTTATATTATCCAGGATGGCTGCAACTGATGCGGAAGTCAGGCTCCGGCTGAAGCAACGTGGAATCGGGACACACCTTCTGCACGACACATCCATGCTCACAATCTAGCATCTGGTCAAGCTGGTATCGTCTAGTAACCTCTTTGGATGTGTCAATGTGGAAAGGCTTTGCCACAGGCTCCTCCAACGAAGCTAAAACACAAACAGTTGCTGACATCTACTTGGAATCATAACATTTGCAGAGCGCAAGTGCCCTGATCGATCATCGGCCTGCTTCTTGTACACAGTAGGGAAGGCTACATCGGGCCAGCCCCTGACCCCTCTTTGAAGCCCTCTTCTATGGCTTGCCAAACCCTGGGTCGGTTGGCAACTCTGGACATTAATTGAAGAAGGCCGCTCTTTTTGTTGGAAGACCTTCGCCACCGCGCAACAATCGAAACGTCATAGTTTCGTCCACTCCCAAAGCCGCTCAGCATGGCAACTACAGGACGGCTCTGAGAAGAAAGTCACCGCCATAACTATTCTGAGAATCGGTTGGCACCACGCCTGAAACTCTGCGAATCTATCTGACCCTATCGCATCCGGCTTGCCGACCAGGGAAATGAACAAAACCGCACCACTTTGCACCCCGAAGTCAAACGATCTGCCCGCTCAGTGCTTAGCCCCAAATGAGAAGTCTATGTTAAGTGCCACAGGACCTTTTGCAAGTCCGTTTCCGTTCGCCCCCTTGCATTATTCTTCCATCCCTCCACCAACATCCAACAGCAAACAACCATCGAGTAAGAGAAAACAGCCACCGCAAGATCAGGCATATGGCAAGCTCAAGATCAAACTTCCAAGAAGCTCTTGCAGGCCGAACAGAAGAGACTGAATGCCAAGACTGTCACTGTGTAATGACATCTCCAACCCTTTTGGCTACGTGTAGCAACCCAGCAACCCAGTCATAACCTCAAGGACAGGCAACACAATCTAAGAACGGTCGTGCCCTGTTCCGCGATTTACAACAGCAGCTTAACCTCTGCTCTTGACACTATCATCTTGCAAGTTGCAACTCGACTATGTGACTCCATTCCCCCGGACCGGTTGTAGCCTGCACTGCGAACACAAAGCTGCCAACAGACCTAGTGCGCCGCTTCGCTCTGAACCTTCAAGGTCCTGTCTAAAAGTCTACTTGCAGGTCGCCATGCTGAAAAGCATTGCTCCGCATGAAGGGTGAAAGACATACGGAGCCGGAGGCAGTGCTGTGCACGGAGCCACTTAGTCTGAGGGCGCATGTGCCCCACAGGTGCGCGACAGGATGCGCGAAGCTCAAGGCTCCGGAAGCTCGCACGGAGCCTTGAGCTCGACTTCCAGGCTTGACTGATAACAGCTTGGGCTTCAGAGCACTCTCCGTGTGAGTGGAGGGATATGCAAGCTGAGAAACCCTCCAGGCACTCTGCGGACATCGACCCCCAGATCGGCTCTTCAGCCCCAAAGCTACACATACAGAAGTGGCTGGGGCACTGTATAAAACGTGCGATATAAATGAAGCTGCATACCGTCGTACCCATCTTGATGGGATTCCGTCACGGCCCTCACTAGAGGACTACAGATTCATTGCTCGGTTCAGCTGATCCTGCCACTGTGACGGCAAGCGTAGAAAGTCAGACACACATGCCCACATGTACCGAACTACAGAAGGATCCAGGATCCCCCAACAGCCGACGTAAGAGAGCCTTCCTTCTTGACTTGGCACTCCTCTCGAAGGCCAAAGTTGGACAGTTGCGATGGCAGCCCATTCATCGGACCTGGAAGAAGCTCCGAAGCATCGGACCGCAAGGGCCCCCGAGCAGAAGCATCTCAGGCCCAGACCCGCACCGGGATGGCCCGGTGGGGGGGGCCAGTTGGACATGGAGCCACCTGCCAGCTCCATCACTGCGCCCAGGTAGCGCGGTCCCAGCGTTTCAGGGCCTCCCGGGCCTCCCTTCCCCATCAAGCCGGTGCCCGTGCCCTTGCCACCGAGGCCCGCAGGCCCAGATGGGCCTGGACAACTTGATTTTTTTCCGTGGGCCCCATTTGCCGAAGCGCTCTGAGCCGCCGGCCGCCCAAACCTCCCTGGAGCATAGCAACCTGGAGCCACCACGCACGGCTATGCCAGCCATGCTATACTCTGCTGTGGTCTTGAGCAGCCCTGTCAACCCCGTCACCTCAAGAAGCCGACTTCAAAGGCTTTCAGAGACGTCCCGCGACGCGCCTGCTGCTGCCACTGCAACTGTGCTGCCTGCGAAGCTGGAGCAAGCAAGCAGCTCACATTTCAGACCCCAGCCCTGGCGGGAAAGGAAAGAAGAGGCTGGTTCCTAGGGGCCCTAGGCCAGGTCCATCTCAGAAGCTGAGACTGCAGCTGCTTGCTGAGATGCTCCAAACCTCACACTTCAAAAAGCCCAAAATGCTCCGGGTGGGGTCGGGGGGGACTCGCGCGGCCGAGCCCTGCTCTCGGGCTGCGGCTGAAGTCCCTGAGCAGCTTGCTGCCTTACCTTTCATAGCACAAGCTGACCGGTGCTGGAGTCTTGCCGTCTTCCCCCCCCCCCCCCCCCCCCCAATAGCCACTGAGAGCCTGCAAGTAGGACAGCAGTTCCTGCTGCGACTGCTCCTGACGTGTTGCAACCAGAAATTCTCCGGCTTCCATGGCACAGCAAGTCGCAGCGCTCTGCAGAGTCCTCTGCCCCCAGCCAGTTCTGCACCCCTCCGCCAGCACCCTGTCAACGCCGCTCAACTAAAAGTTTAGGGTTTATGGCTTTGGGGTTTAGGGTTTAAGATGTTCTTGAACTCGCATGCTTGACTCTCAGGCATTGCCTGAAGCAAGGATGGGCCGAGCCCAGGCGGGGCTCCGTCCAGTGCTGACCACTGGCTATGACCTTGGCCTTGGTGCAAAGGCACAGGCGGCGTAAGGCTTGACATCAACGGAGAGACCCTCATCTGGGTAGTTCTCTAAATAAGGGTCCCTTTATTTAGGTCCCCCATATAGTACGGCACCCTTGTAACAAGGACCCTACAATTACAAGGGGCCCGAATTCAGAGAACTACCCATCCAGAATCTAGCGTGACGTTCTTTGGAAAGGCGGAGACCACCGAGTCCGGCGTATCCTCCTTTGCCGAGCAGCTGACCTGCGTAGTTGGGACGAATCGCCGACTGCCCGCCAAAGGTCACTTCGTGTGAGGCTCATGCTTTACCCCGTTCCTCCCATCAGCCTCTGTATCCGTTTTATCTCGAACCTACTCAGAGTCAGCCCTCAGCATATGCAACAAAGAGATCCCGGCATCCGGGCTCAGCGACATGTCGAGACATCTCTGCTCTCTCCAAAGCGGGGCCCCGGACTCTGCTGCAAACCGCTTGCCTGGAGGCTGCAGACACCCTTTTCGCAGAATCCAGCTGGGATGCGCTGGCTCCTGTCTGCCTCCTACAATGCCTCCTAGCAGTCACAAGAAGGAAAGGGGATTCAGCGACATGGGAATCAGAGTGCCGCGTGGGCCTGAACTATTTAAGCCAAAGCGCAGGGTCATGCAAGTATGCGGGGCTGAGATCGCTGAAGCCACATCCTCACCGAGACCAGCAATGGTTGGTGGTATCGGAGTGGGTAGCTCTGCACATGGACACGAGCACGTCCATAGCAAAAGCCAAGTCGGCACAGAAACACTCGACCTGACCGAACCTATGGGCATTCCTCCGCTTGAAGCTGCAGCCCGTGGGACCTCTGGCAGCGGCAAGCGGCAACGTCCTAAACCGCCCTTCTCAGCGCGTTTGAGCGAGGACCATGCGCAAAGGGAAGATATTGTCCCGTTCAAAGAAAAGGTTAAGTCGGTCTCGACCGAAATTAAGGCCACTGCCCCTGCACCGGAGCTAGAGGTCGAGGGAGGCTTCGACGGCGCCCCCACCGGCCTGTGCGAGGCAACATCAAGCCTAGAGACCCGCTGAAGCCGGTTTGAAATAGGCATGGGCCTAAGCCTAATAAACCGTTACTTTCCGTTACTTTTGGCATTTGCTTCTTCTTCTGAGGTTCCCTGTGGCGACACTGCATAAGAAGGAACATCATAAGAAACTGCAGCCCCTTTTCTAGCTCGTAGCTGTCCAAAGATTGTCAAGACTTACTGGCTAGCAGCGCAACGGTTTTCTTCACTTGGCAGCCTGCTTGAGTGTCCGGGTCTTTGCATGTTCTGGCAACATGCTGTCTGCTCGAAAACGGGAGAAGCACCGGTGAACCGTTGTGTCAACCTCAAGCCGTCGAGAGGCTGCAAATGCACAGAATAACTGTGGTAACTGTGTGTTAAATGGCACGGACACGAGTGAGGCCCGCAACGGCGACGCTTAAAGCGACGCTTTTGTCTTAGGGGAGGAGACGAGAAAAGTCTCTGCTGGCCACGGAAGCCAGACCTCGGTCATGGCTCTTGCATGGCAACGGGAGAGGAAAAAAGGGACTCTGTTACTAGATTTGTGTTGATTCGGAGATTCTTTGAAAGAGCGGCCGACCGCTCCCTTCAGCAGCTCGGCCACAGCTCACTAGGCCACTAGGCAATGGCCTTACCCGGCTCGCCGCGATGGGCAGCCACGCTCAGCTCGAGAGAGTCCGGTGACATTTCCACCTCTTGCTGGAAGGCATTCAGGAGGGCCATGTACATCTCATGATGTCGCACACCACGGCGGCGAATGAAAGGAGTTGAGTTTCCTGGACCCCATGATCGCCAGCTCAACATACAATCGATATCGTCGCCAGGTGACTGGTCCTCAGGCTCGATGGTCAAAGCTCGAGCCAAGTCTGTCTGCTGCTCTGGCTCCTGCACGAGATCTGGCGAATTTGCAGAAGGGAGGATGCACCTGCTCTCCTGCAAGGAATCTCTAGTCAGACTGGCAGCGGATCCCATAGGATGTCTAGCTCAAATAGACAAGACTCCGGGGAAGCAAGACCTCTGAAGCCAAAATGCTTGATGACGGAGAGAGTCGAGTTGAACCCAAAGGTTTACGAGATTCTGCGACTGACATCCATTCCTACAGTAGTGCCAGCTTACGGGCCTGGAGCGCCATTCGTGTATTGCAGACACTAGGACTAGCCAGTGCAGTCCCGTCTCTTATGGGACCCCCCCCCCCCCCCCCCGGCAGCTTGCAGCCCGAGCCCGAGCGTATTCTTTGTCGTGCCGAAGCTGGGGACCTCAGCGCGAGAGCCCGCGTGCAGGGGCTTTCGCTTTCTCACTCCGAGGGCCCGGGCCGGCATGGAGAGTGCCGAGGGAGGCCGATGGCTCTTCTCTTTGCTCCGCCCCTGAGGAGACTGTGGACCGAAGAGTTGCGGAGCAGAGAAGGAGCGGTGCTTCGCCTCCTTGACAAGGCGGCGCTCCTTCCCTTCGGCAGATCCTCAGAGACCAAGAGACAGTGAGGAGGGAAGGACATCACTCTGCGCTTTGTTACGCTCTCTGCTGCACACTCCACGCACTCCACAGTGGGGCATCTGCCTGGCACTTTGTAGCTTTCCCGGGAGATGGCTTGCCTGGCTCTGTAACCAGATCCCTCACTCAAAGACGAACACACGGCTCTCTCTCTCCTCTTGCGCTCCAATACAACTTTTCAGGTTGCCGCACGCGGTTGAGATTTCGGGTCCATGCTCCAGAATCTTTCAAGAATCATGCGCCTCTCATCCCTGTGAAGGGCATACCTGAGCTGGGGCAACCGGAGCACAGATCTTGAACCCGCTTTCCCAAGAGATGAAAGGAAAAAAGGATTCACATGCCTTCATGTCTTGAGCCACCGAAAGCCTCTCATCCAGCCTTTCATCCCGGAGCGCCAGACCGAGCGGCTGCAAAAGCAGCAGCGCGTGATTCGGGAACCAAGGCGTTAAAGCCAGCTGTTCCTGGCTACGAGGCAGGTTTCCAGTGCGAAGCTTTGTTTCCGTCCACCCGGCTCTCTGGCACGTGCAGCTAAACTTGTCGCATCAATGCAACTTAATACAACTGTTGCGCATTCGACAGGGATGGTATAGGAGCGAATGTAGGCACATGCCGGCATAGGCAGAATGCACTGAAGGTCCTTGGCCAGCAAGCCAAGCTTCGCCAGTTCGTTCACCAACTGTCGCAGTCACAAGGCGTTGCAAGATGAGCGGTGCGAAGCGGAATCCCAGAGCTACGGGCTGCTGGACGTTTTTCACTTCAGAGATCCCTTTTGGCGTCTACGTTTGGCTGTGAGTCAGACTCGGGTGAGATGACAACACACGACCACTTTCTGAGAGGCCGAAAGGGGCCCCCATCTCTCCAGCCTTCATGTCTAAGTTGCCACCAGAGCTGGTGTCCGTGCGAATGTCCAAAAACACCCAAATCCTGTGCAAGATGCAGGCTGCTGATGCCGCATTCTGCCTTGCCCACACTGTGGCAAGCCTGTTCGAGCTTTACACACATTGCCTTGAGAAGCTCCGCCAGCATGCAATCCGGCTAGACAGCACTCGCTGACATTTCGCGAGTGTTTTGGAAATATCACATTGGATGAATGTAGCCCCACCAACAACCGAGCTTGTCAAAGTCCGGCGGTCCTCTCGTGGCTGTCGGAATTCTCGCCCTGAGAGGTCTCTTGGCAGAGTTTCGGGAAGTTTATGCAGCAAACCCGCCAGCCGCCTCGGAGTGCTTCTTCTCACCGCTCCTGCGAGGCCTCCTGGAAGCCGCTAGACCGACAAAACGAATCGGCTGAGGCACGCGAGACACTCCAAAGGCTCCTCCACCGCTGGAGAATGTTGGTATGATTCATCACCTGATCACTACATCGAGGCTTCAAGCTTGAGGCAGAAATGAACTGACGCGTCAGGTGCTTGCTCGCTGTCATCACCGAGATTTCTACAGGTGGTCGAGGCTCCCACAATCTCCTGCACATGCCGCGGTACCTGGAAAAGTGGCATTCGCCGGCGTATGCGCATGACAACGGCGGCTCGCGAATCGTGCGTACAGTGTCCTTGCCCGCTGGGCGGTATTACAAAGTCAAGACGGGATTTCCCTGCTTCACGTTGTCACAGCGATTGAAACATCTCCCTACGCTTCTTGGCATCTCGAGAGCAGGGCCTTGTCAAACTGATCCGCATCCTGCATCAATGGAGCAAAGTTGCTGCTGCGAGGCTTAACCTCATTGATGCTTCTAGATCTAAGTCGAATTCAAACCCAAACTGCAGTACCTGAACTCCGGCCTCGCCCCAATCCTTGTCCTTGGCGTCTCCAGTCCAAGGCCACAGAACGAGGCCTTGGAGGTAGCAGCGAAACAGTACTTTCCCTTCTACCCTTTCTCGATTGGGCTGTCAATGAGGCTGGGAGCCGCCGGGATTGCGGGGCAGAACCATGCTCTAGACAAAGGTAAGCTTGGAACAAAGAAACGGCAGAGGTAGCGAGAGCGAAATAGAGAAAGCGAGCGAGCGAGAGACTGAGAGGGAGAGAGGGACAGAGAGGCGGAGGCGGAGGCAGAAATAAGACGTTCGGGAGCACGTGCTTGCGGCACCAGAAGGCAGCCTCCCTCTCTCTCTTTCTCTCCCGCTCGTTTGGGGTGTCCATGCACCACCAAGGAGCTTTTGATGTGCGCAGGAGTAGTGCACCTGGCAACGCCCCATGGACACTTGCAGACTACAAAAAGGCACGGGGGAAATGGGGGCTATGGAACTCCGTCAAAAATCGCATCGGCCCCAGCTGGCTTTGGGGTCAAGGGGTTTTGGATCAAGGGTTTAGGGTTTTTTGATTTGGGCTTTGGGGTTTAGGGGCCTTGGATTTAGGGTTTATGGTACAGGGGTCTAGGACTTGGGGGCTCAGGGTCCAGGGCTTTAGGGTTTAGGGCTTTCACTCTGTAGGGTTTTCCTGTTGGGCAAAAGGTTCTCGCTGGATTCACTCCTTAGGGTTTTAGTCTTGAAGTGGGGAAAGGTTCCTGCTGGATTCACGGCTTAGGGTTTTCCTCTTAGGTAAACGGTTCCTGCTGGACCTTGGGTTTTCGCCTTTGGATCAAAGGCCTAGGGTTCGGGGTCTACGGGTTTTGGATTTAAGGTTTGGGGACTAGGGGTTTGGGATTTAGGGTTTAGGTTTTTGGGGTTTAGGATCTAGGGCTCCGGGTTCAGGCTCTAGGGTTCAAGGTTTAAAAGGTTCCTGCCGAGTTCACTCCGCAGGGTTTTCGTGTTGGGCAAAAGGTTCTCGCTGGAGAAAAGGTTCCTGCTGGTAGAAGGTTCCTGCTAGATTCACTCCTTAGGGTTTTCGTCTTTGCATCAAGGGTTTTTTGGGTTTTAAGGTTTACGGGTCTTGGATTTAGGGTGTGGAGTCCAGGGGTTTGGATGTAGGGTTTAGGGTCTAGGGGTGTAGGATTTAAGGCTCAGCGTTCAGGGCTTTAGGCTTAGGGTTAAGGGTTCCGTCTTGGGCAAGAGATTCTCGCTGGATTCACTCCTTAGGGTTTTTGTCTTGGGGAAGACGTTCCTGCTGGCTTCACTCATCAGGGTTTTCGTGTTGGGCAAAAGATTCTCGCCGGATTTACTCCTTAGGGTTTTCGACTTTTCTCAGGGTTTTCGTCTAGGGAAAAAGGTTCCTGCCAGGGCAGGGGAAGGAGGCACGCGGCAAGAACATTGCAGGGCTTAGGGCTTCTAGTGTCTGCAGAGTGCCAGCTAGAAGCTCCAGCAGCATCAACCTTTGCTAGGGCGGCGGCTGGCACGGAACGCGGCATGGGGCAGCGGCACGGGCAGGGAGGGGGGCACGTGGCAGCAAAATGGCAGGGCTTAGGCCTTGCAGTGTCTGCACAAAGCCAGCTAGAAGCTCCTGCAAAATCGACCTTTCCCGACGGTTCGGGGTTCGGGGCAGGGTAGGGCACAGGGAGCGGCAGGAAAATGGCAGGGTTTTGGGTTTGTGGTGTCTCGCGAGCGGCAGGGGCAGAGGCAGGGCAGGGGGGAAGAGGCAGGGGCGAGGCACGGCAGCCTGATGTTCACGGCACGGAAGCGACGTGCGAGTGCAGGGCAAGGGGCACGAACAGACTCGGGCAGGGGCACGGCAGCGTGAAAACTACGGTACGGAACCGATGTGCGAGTGCACCTTAGATTTTTTCGCGAGTGCAGCTTGGACCCAAAACGCGAGTGCCCTTAGATAGCGCGCCCCCCTTCCCCCCCGCTTCCCTCGTCGCTGCGAGGCAACACGGGCTAGCTTACAGGGAATTCTGGGACTGTGTCTTGTACTTCGTTGTAAAGCTTGATTCCCCTTCCAACATATGGGAGGTTGTAGACGAGACCAGTGAGAAGTGTGATACGATTAGTACAACGACGTCTGCGGGATAATGCAGGGAATGTGCCACCTTTCGCGTGGGATTATTGCTCAGAGCCGCATCATGGAAACAAATACTGACAGTAACAAGCATTCTGAAACAAACGCGATCATTCACTCAAGGCCTTACCTGTGTGACCTACCCGCTGCTTTCCGAAACAATGCACCTGCTTCAAGTACAGCCGGGCCGAGGCGGACGATGCGAAGTGTTTAAAGTTAGATTGAAACTGCTGGGACCCGCAACCACCCAAATGAATAGTGGAAGGGTACTTCGGGTATCTGGGCCAGTCGTGCCAAATCATGTACGCAGAGACATTGCCCGACGTAAACGCCCCGAAATCCTGTACGCACTTTTTCACAATCGGCCAGGCACAGGAGTTTGTGCCGGGAGAGGCTGCTTACTCCAACGGTTCCATTGCGGCAGCTTCCGGAGGGTGGCTTCGTGAGCTTCGCCAGAAACCCTGGCTGCGAGTTCTGCGTGTCACACCTCGGCAACAAACGCGGCAAGTGGCAAGAGGGCGAAGCCACGATGCCTTCATTCGGCAGGTCGCGCGTGCAGCTTTGGCTTCGGACACCGGCCATGAATCCATACAGAGAGAGTCAAGTCAGTCCAACGTCAGAATTTCACTTGTATTCCATTCCAGCTCTTGGCTGAGAGGCACATCCTCCTCCCGCTCTTCTTCCTCTTCCCCTTCCTCCCCGAATGCCTGGCAGAAGTCAAGTCCTATATCTTCTTCTTCTTCTTCCGCTCTTGTGCGCTTTTCCTCTTGAATTTCTTCAAGAGTCGGCAACATATCTGAAATCAGCTTCAACATGTCTCGGACCTCCTTTTCCGATTTCTTGTCCGTGTCCTTCAAGGCTGCGTATCCTGAACCTCCCTTCTCCCGCTCTCTTGGCTCGGGAGTTTGATGCGCTTCCTGTGGGTCTTTCGGCAAGAGCTTCGACTTCGGGGCTGCTTCGGCTCCCTGAGATCTCTGATCCACGACTTTCCAGACATCTTCCTGCAGAAAGCTGGGCGTCGTCCGGGGCCGCTTCGCTCTGGCCTTGTCCATGGGCTCGCAGCCTACTACAGTACCTCAGTATGCTGATGATACTTCGATCGCCCCTTCTCAGAAGTGCAGCATACACGCCCTCAGTGAAGCTATGGCTGGAGTTCGTGTCCTCTTGTTGGGCAGTCAGTTCCTCTCGTCTACACTGCGAACCCAAACAGCTTCCCACCAGCAGAGTGCTACTCTGCTGGCACTGTAATTCTGATTCAGCGAGCTAAGCACCCGTCCACTGGACACAAGCTGCAGAAACAAAATTCGTCGACATCCCGGGCCGTGCTCCAGGCGCAGGTCCCTCGAAACCCGAAAGGCTCCAACCCTTCCCAGAACCCAAGTACGCTACTACGGCCGTCAGCCGTCTTAGGAGTTCCTGACCCAGGTGTTCACCCGAATCGGTGAAAACTGAGGCAGTTCGGCACTAGGAAGTCGAAGATGCGCTTGCAGAGCTTCGGAGCATCCTCTTTCAAGAGCCTGCTGACAGGATTTGCAACGCGGGGCTTCAAGAAGAGAAGACGATTCATCATTCATCCATACTGGCCATGACAAGACATGATGCCCGAAAGGCCGCACACCCTCAACCCTGACTCAGTATCATCTCACCGCCGCGACATGCGAGCCTTGCAGGGCTGTTCTCCCCCAACCGGGGATGCAGCGCCATGAGGAAGGCATACCTCACCAGGCTAGGAAAATGCAAAACGGCCTATACAGCTTGCATTGCTCCATTGGCGAAGCTCACAATGCATGCATGAGCCAAACTAGAAGTTGGTGAGGAGGAGGTACAAAGGTACGTGAGTACCTAGGCACATACACCTGGAAACGATCAGCCAGCCGGCAGCCGTGCATTCATGACAAGCATCTTGGAGTGCCTGCATAATGGCAAGAAAGAGGCCGAGAGATTGTGGGAGACTCAGGTGATGAATTCGACCAGCTGACAGCAGACATTTTGGAAGGTGAAATCAACAGATCGGGCAGACACCGAATGGTGAAGATCTAACTATGCAAGGACAGTTTCCCGCAGACCTTCACAGATCCCCTTTCCATTTGCCGGTTGAAGCGTTGGAGATTCATGCTCCACCTGCAGGTTTCGGACACTCCCGGCTGAGAATTGAGCCTGCAGATCTTCAGAACAGCCGGAGGGGACAAGGGACTTCTCCAGACGCTGCGAAAGCAAGATCTGTAAGTTCTGTCTGTCTGCCTGCCTGCCTGCCTGCATGTGCATCTATATAATATAATATAATATA